GTTTCTGTAGAAGCTCAGGGTGTCTATCACTGCAGTGTGTGCCTGTCCAGCCCCTGAACCATCTCTGCTTTCCCACTCTATTAGGCTTTGTGAGTGGAGATGCAAGCTCCCACCTGCGGCTGCTGCTTTGCAGTGTCAGCAAGGAATCCCACTGCACACTAAATATACTGACTTGTCCAAGATATGTTTTTCATGACAGTTGTACATATGTCCTTTGTGTCAAGGACAAAATCCTACAGCTGTTTCCCCCTGCTGTGCAGAATAACCCATCTTGCTCAAGGTTAACAGCAATCAGCTCATCTTGGCCAAACACAGTGTTAATTCTGGGACCCTGGTGTTGTCATGCCCGTGAGTCAGCAGGTTTGCAAAGCAAGGAAATACTTCTTCAGAAAGCACCCTGTCTTTTCAAAACCTTTTAATTTCAAAAAACTTTGTGATGATACTTAAATGTTAATTTTACAAAATTTTGTAATGTACGTTTTTAAATTGAAAAGGAAGGAAATGGCATTCAAATCCTGCTAGGAAAAGCTGGGTTACCCAAAGCCAGACTGTGGTAAACAGAAGAAAAGATGGATTATTTGGGTAATAATTTCATGCAAAGTATTCTATAGGTACTGTGGGAAAATGATCAGAATTTAGGAATCAGGAAAGAGAACAGTGAGGCTCCTTTAAAAACAACAGCGCTGAAATTTTGAATTTTCCTACATAGGTATGTCTGTGTTTTGATCAACCTGAATCCTGTCCTTGAAGGACATGGGCTTGGGTCACCTGCCACCCCATGTCACTGTCCATTGTCTTGTATGAGTCACATTTCTCTTGCTGTAGAACTATTTCAACTGCAACTCTGCTTTCGTAGGACAGTCAAGTGTAAATATGTATTTCCCCCAGCAGGTATTTCCCACTGCCAATCAAGGGGTGTACTTAAAGTGGTAGAAACCATACCATACATACCATGTTCTTTGGCGTCACACTGACCTCTCTGTCCTTCATTCAACACTGAATAATCTCCTCTTGTGAAAAAGGTTAGGTCATATCTTACACCACGTGCTGCCTGTTTTTTAGTTGGGCATAGAAACATGTTTGCTTTTCCTTGAGTTGCACCTACTAGCATTCACATTGGCATCGCTTCTTGCAGCTGCTACTTGGTTAGCTGCAGTGCCATGTTGGACAAAAGCTTCTGTGAAGCAATTGTACCTGATTTTTATTTGGCAAGTGATCAGAGGACAACAGCCAACTTCTCAGATCACCTGTTGAGGCTGGAAAGTGTTCTATAGTAGTGAAAGGCCTTCTGTAGCACTTTCCTATCTGAGAACGGCTTTTCGTTTGTTCATTCAAATAACATCAACACCATGACATATATAGGGATTATTATCTCTGTAGAGAGTATCAGAAATGAACAGAAATCAATTTCCCAGGAACTGCGGGAAGATTGCAACACTTCCAGAAAATTTTGCCTGAATTACAGGTTTACATTTATTAGAATTGTCTTGCTGGGAACTCATGCTGTGTAACTCTCTTATCCACTCAAAGCCTGGAACTGTTCTCAGTTCCTTCACCCTCAAAGCCAGGAGCTGTCCTCCGTTCCTTCACCTTTTACACATTATAAACAAATAACATGGTCCTTTTATACCCACAGAACTAGGATATGATAAAGACCTTTGGCTCTTGCCAAGGCCAGAGCCCAAATCAGATTACCAGAAAACATTAACAAAAAGGCTACAAAATAACATTTACTGTTATTCCTGCATTGGTTGCTTTCTCATTGAACTCTGCACAGCAGAGTCTGTTACCAAGGCAGAAACTTCAGTCTTGATGATTATCTTTTAAAAAATAAACAAGCCTAGTTCTCTCGCTCTTTCCTTGCAGATTGTGTTCTGTATCCCAAGCCTTATTCTCCTAACTCCACAGCCCGCCTGAAATGCATCACAAGTAGGTGGATATGGCTGCAGCTGAGGCTTTACCCCTGGCAAACATGATGGAGGAACTATTTGATATGTCTTGTAATTTTACACATGCCAATAGCATGTTGAGTGTTTATTTTCTTCCAACAAAGTCATCTGCCGTATGACTGGGTGTCAGATTAACTCCTTCTCAGACAGAAAGTGCAAACACCAAAGATGAGAAAGCTGTGGCGGGGCAGGAGGGGATTGGCTCCCATGTGGCAGACTTGCTTTCATCATGCAGCCAATAGATATGAACAAAGCTAATTAATTGTGTGACTAACAATCATGAAAGTTTCTGAGGGACAAAGGAAACTCTCCAGTGGTTACAACTAGTTTCAGAACAACAAGGAAGTTTGAATAATGCCCATAACCATCTGGGTCACTTCACTAACCATTCATTTAAGCAGCATGTCACTGAGCCAAACTGTCTTCACTGCTGCAGAGATCAGCTGAGAAATTATTTTACATTGTAAGTAGTAGTGGAAAAGGTCAAACAAGAATCAGTGCACAAAAAGCAGAGTTCTCTGGCAGAATTGTTAGAGGGTGGTTCTCTTTCGCTTAAAAACTGTGTGTGGAAACTCAGGAGTGGTAAGGTTAGTGGTCTGGGAACTAATTAATTAAACAGGGGCCCCACACAGCCCAGCAGGAAAGAACTGGCCTTTGGACAAAACTGTTGTAAGACTGTGCAACCAGTAGCATACCGTTAGCTCATGCATGGTTCAGAGACATGTGAAAAGATGCTGAGCACTAAAGTCAACTGCTGACATGGCACTGATGTCAGGCTCAAGGCAGCCTGCCAGAAATAGTCTATTGGCTGCTGATAAAAGCATTACATATATTGTAGTATGAATCTGGCTGAAAAGACAAGAAAAGAGGTTGTTCAGAGGACTCATCCGAAAGTCACTAGAGGTAACAAAAGTTAGCCTGAATTCCTTTGTACTCAGAAGTACAGGGCTGAGTACTAACAGGTACTTATAAAATGTGATCAGGTGGAAGCTGCAGTGTGGGAGCAGGAAATGGTTTGCATCAGAGATAATCCAAACGGGCTGCCTGTGTAAGGAGCTGGCCAAACTGCAGGAACAATTTAAGGTCAAACTGGAACTGAAGTCCTTAAAGGGAAACAGAAATTGGGGAAGTCAGGAAACAGAAGTGGCTGTCCTGCTGAACCACTCAGCGTTAGAATCAGTTCAAATGATCTCTGTGCAAAAGGAAGGAGCCACTCAAAGTTTACCCCAAATAAGAAACTAGCTGCTGGAGATACAACACTTGGAAACTACTAGACAGTTTTTTAGGAGTTTAGGAGGGGTCTGAACACGAGTACAGACTCTGAGCTGTGAGTTTGTACCTACCTTCCAAGAAGCCCATCTGCAAAGAGAACTTTGCCACACTGCAACTGAAGCACAAGCTCCGTGGGCTGCCCACACTGTAACAACCAAAATGAAAACTTCTGGGAGGTCTGTGATGGACTTTGGTGGTTGTATTTTCAGTACATGTATGAGATGTAGTGAAATGTATTTTCACTAAACATATGAAGCATTTCCAGCACACTGGGACCCAATTTTTAATTCCTTATGTTTTACTGACACATGAAAGTAAGGCCACAGCCAGCTACTTCATGGGAGCTGAATGGGCATTAACCCCTTCCTCCACCAGCCAGTAACCTTAAATAAAGTTTCTCAGTTACTAGCCTTGCTCTGAGATCAGTGAGGAGAGTAGTACTGCAGGATGCTTTGACCTTTTGGGGTAAGGCATGCCATCCAGTTGCAAGGCAGTGGAGTGACAGTGGCAGCAGGGTAGACCCTACAAGTAGGTCTGGCATCTCCTCAATCAGAAAGGGAAAGTGCTGAGTTGCCAGAACAGGTTGCCTTTGGGGGCAGAGGAGGAGCTAACTTCAGCTACTTCAGAGGGAGTCCTGGGCTCTGACCCAAGGGAATTGACTAGTTGCCCGTTCATCTAGCCTTGGTGGGCTGGTCACTGACACCTGTACCACAGCTGAGATCCGCCCTTTTGGGTAGCCCCTCTGCCACCATCAGTGTCCCCCACCATCAGTGTCCCACTCTGAGCTTTCTGGGTGGGCATTGGATATATATTTACAAAGCAATGTAAAGCCGAGTGCATAATTTCAGCATTGGTAATGCAAAGAAATTGCGTTAGAATTGCACAAAGCTGCATAATTTGACTAGATGACCTCTGAAGGTCCCTTCAAACCCAAATATTAAATAATAATAAAAAAAAAAACTTGTGGAACTATATTGTCAGAAATAGTTAACCGGGTATTTTAAAGAGCAAAGTAGTTATTTAAACCCACCCTGCCCCTTTCTGTTCCTTCTCAGAGCAGATATCCAAGTTTCCTGTACCAATTTAAGGAAGCTTAACCCAGATACAGCTGGGGTGTCTCTAGGCAGCACGGGCAGCCATGAAACTGTACACCTAGGGACAAAATAATGTCGTTATAGTTAATGATGAGGAGGAACCCTTAGGGGTGAGCATCCTGTTCACCAACCGAGGAGCACTGCAATGCCCAACATTCGTAGCACAGTCTCCCAGGTGGCATTACTAGTGGAAAATACCACACTGTCCCGGACAGCCACAAATCTCGAAAAGCCAGCAGGGAAGGGAGGCTCCTGACGGGAAAGACGGGGGATCAACTCCTTCCTCCTCTCACCTCCCTGGTTTATTACAGGCTCGACAGCACCCTCAAATCAATTCCCCTCCGCGGGCCCTTTAAATCCACCCCTTCCACGCACACAGGGCTCCGGCCTTCACCGGGTTGTTGCCTCAGGCAAGCCCGCCCAAACGGCCGAGCTAGGCGGGGCCGGGCCTGGCCGTGCCCCGCCCCGCGCTCCCCAGCCACCGCCCCTCCTGACGGGAGCAGAGCAGCGCCTTATAACCGGCAGCGGCGGGGTGGTGGCTGTCGGCATACCGGCACGTGGGGAGGGGAGGCTCGGCTCTGGCGGTGAGTGCGGCGAGTGCGGCGGAGGCAGCGGCTGGCTCCTCAGGTCGCGGGTGCTGGTGAGGGTCATCTCCCGGCCGGGTGCAGGTATGTATTTGTGAGCTTCACCGAGCGCTGCCTCTGAAGGAGGGCGAAGGTTTGCTGAGCTTTGCTCGGCACCCTCCAGGGCCTTCCATCACCGAGCAGTGACATGCCGCTTCCTTTTTTTTCCTTGTTTTCCCCTCCTGATGAAGCTGTGCTTCGTTTCGTAGGTGGTCGTTCGTTAAAGGTTGTTTGGTCGGTGCAGTGGCTATTCCCTCCTCCCTTCGCTCCTTCACAGGTATCTTTGGGTCACTGCTCTAGCTGTTTAAAAGTAGGCTGGCGGTGCTGCTCAGGGAGGCACTGCTGCAGTGCATCCATTTAGTTGGGAAGAGATTTCACTGGCTTCCTTACTTGTAAAACAGCCGTTATTTTGCAAGGACTTGCCACGAGGGCTGCTAGCTTTAACCCTAGCCTTTTTCTTCCTGATCATACTTCACTGCTTGAATAAGAACTGAGCTGTGTGGCTGCAGGATGATCCATGCAGTTAAAAAGTATTCCTTGGATAATTGTCTTATATATGCATGTTTATATTGCAGGTAATAACCTTTTAGGACTAATAGTTCATTAGTGTAAGCCTTTTGTAACAGTCAAATTAATTTTAAATAGCTGAAATTACTGTAAACTGGAGTATACTGTGGCTAGTATGCTAGCAATATGTTTAACAAATAAAGAATTAGACATATTTCTTTTAAAGTCTGTTTCCTAACAGGGAGATACCTAAATATTTGTCCTAATTGATTCATTCTTCTATGGAACTTTGGCTCTTGATTTTATTTCAGTTACATTGCCAGTTGAAAGTGATCAGACTTGCTTCTAATTTTTGCAGTGTGTGGATGATTCTCTGTATTAATTTAACCCAGTGTCCCTTAGGGAGAGTATCACTTCTGTCATCTTACTGATGACAGTTTTTTAATAAGACCTGGTTTTAATAAGACCTGAAGACCTCATTCTAATGAGGGTTAACTTTTAAGTAGTTTGCCAGTTATCTAATATGGAATCCTTCAAAGGAGATAACTTTATCAGAGTAGGAAAGAAGTTCTGAGTAAAAAGCAAAACGGGAATTCAGAAAATAAGGAGGAAAAGATTCTTTACTATGAGGGTGGTGAAGCACTGGAATGGGTTGCCCAAATAAGCGGTAAATGCTTCCTCCCTGGCAGTGTTCAAGGCCAGGTTGGACAGGACCTTAGGTGACATGGTCTAGTGTGAGCCTATGTCAGGGGGTTGGAACTACATGATCTTAAGGTCCTTTCCAGCCCTAACTATTCTATTGTTCTATGAAAATGAAACAGCTGAGGTGAAAGAGCAGAATTGTTTGCTGATGTAAATTTTCTGAGATTATGTATATATATTTAAATGAACTCTGCCACTCTGCTTCAAGCCTTTCAGAGGTACAAACCTTGACAGTGCTATGTAAGGCCCTCACCTTGGGATGCATTAAAGGAACAATGTGCTGTAAAAATTCTGCATTAGGGTGTCCTACACATGTATTGAAAGTTCAGCCAGCATTAGTAGTTCTGTGTACAAATGGGGAACTTTATTTGGTGGTGTTTGTATGCTTCTGCATCATGCCAGTGCCCCAGAATTACTAGTAGCTTTCATTGCCCAGCAGAGTGAAATAAAGATGCAGATATGTATCTTAATTTTAGGATTGTTAGTGTTTGATGAAAGTTTGTTAATGTGTTGAGGGAGGAAGGTAATTGTATTTTAAATTTTGACAAGTTTCTCAAGATCACATGCATGGCTGATAGTGGGGAAAATGAGCTTGCCTCTCTCTCTGTTAATTAAATGATCTGCCATTAATCATGGCAGGACAGGAATACAAGGAACTTGGAGGTGGAAGTGTCCTCCCTCTGGCACAGTGTCATACCCGTGTGGCTCTGCTGCTTTTGCGTTGCAAAGCTGGCATAGTCTAAGCCTGTGGCTCCTGATCTTTGTACTGTGCTCTTCTTGGCAATGTAGTGGGTGTCCTTACTTGCCTTTTCCTCTTTATTTTTTTATTTTTTTTTTTATTTTTTTAATTATTTTTACATCAGTGGTGATCTTGGCTGCAGCCTGAGGAGTAAGATGGTTTTGTGTGTGCTTGGTGGTTGAGTATTTGAAATTGTGCTTTGAGCTGTGATGGGTTTTTTATTGATTGGCAGCAGATAACTGTAGAATCCAATGTGTAGAGGAGGATATTCTAGAAAATGGGGAATGGGAAGTATTTGCATTATAAGAAGGGGAAAAAGTAAGCTGTGGAGAGGCCTACTTTATTTTGGGAAGGGCAGTTTTGTATTGGCTGCACTAGTCTGGTTTTGCAGTTCTTGCCTCTTTTCTAAGGTAATGGGATTATTTCAGCATCTTTAAAAGGCTGTGCAAGAGGTAATTATGATTTGTGTCACTTTGTCAAATTCACTTAATTGACTTCCAAGTTAGAGCAGCCTTTATTTACTGTAAAAGGCCTTATGCACCTGACGACATGAAAATAGTGTAATGTTCACAGGAATTAACATTGTGAACACTGGTAGCTGAAATAGGCCTTAATGGAAGCAAAGTGTTGTGTACACCCTTATTTTCTGACCAACTGTAGGAGCTCAGTTCATGTTAATGTTAACCAGAAAAAAAGGAATAGAAGTTTAGTAATGACTTGTAAAATTTCATTTGATTGTAGAACTTGGTCCACCTAATTCAGTTTGGCAAGAGCTGTTGGAGGTTATTCACTGCAGTGCTCCATAAGATCATGTCTGGGAGACTAACTACTTTAACCTTTCATGGTGAGGATAGTGGTGGCCCAAATACATAGTAGAGACATTGATTAGTGCCCAGATGCCTTTGTATAGTATTACTGACTTTAGATTATAAAAGGTAGTAAATGCTTTTATCCTTGGTGTGCTTGGAAGGTTCATCTTAAATGGACAAGACACAAAACTTTATTAATTGTTGGCTTATGTATTTATATAACAGATGTACTTACAGAAGCACTGTCTTATTTTGCAGAAAGAATAATCAACAATGTCAGCACTAAACTGGAAGCCCTTTATCTATGGAGGATTAGCATCAATCACTGCAGAATGTGGTAAGCTTTTCTCTAACTATTTAGAGAACTTCCACTACTCAGTCTCTTTTAAAAAACAAGCTTGGTTCCATGTTATCAGTAGTATATGGTGGCCTAAAGCATAGGAGGCTTTTTCCTTAATACTGACTAAGGAGCTGCTCAGGACTTTGTTAGTGTCAGAACATTTCTGTCTGTAAACTCTCATCCATTGTGAGTCTTGTTTATACACAAACTTTGCCTTTGCATTCTATTATTTGGTGTTTGATCTGTTCGTGGATGGTGGTCATAAGTACACCCAGCTTTTGTGTTTTATTCTTTTATGAATAATGTTCAGACTTGAGTTTGAAGTGTCTCTTACTTGACTCGTTTGAATGGGGCCAATGATGCCAAGAGCTTTGTGAGAAAGACAAGCAATTCCTAAAAAGCCTTGCTTGTCTGGTAAACCTCATTAGAAAAGATGTAGTTAATCCTGACTCCTGTTATTGTTTAGGTGAGTATGGAATGTTGAGGTTGTCTCTTTCCTAAAGATAAGCTTTAGAGGAATAGGCTTCTAAGCCCCTTTCATGAGGGAACATGGAGAGTGTGAACTTGACATAGCAGCAGGCTACAGGAAAGCAATGACAGAAATGGGTGCTCCTGCTATTGCTTTTTTAGTTTCCAGGCTGGAATCTCTATAGCTAGCCTATAGAATTTATTTCTTTGCCTTCAATTAAATGTTCTTCAAAGATGTTGGTAGAACACACATCCAAACTCTGTACTTGATTGTGATTGCAGAGTCTATTCAGCATGGCTATTTACAAACAGACAACATCGTATTTCCTAAAAATATAATGAATGTGAAACAAACATAGGAGGTAGGGCCTCTGACAAGCTTCTAGAAGAAACAAAGTGACATAAAATGAAGCACTTGCTTAAAAGAAAGTCTTGGTAAGAGACTTTTTTCCTATGGGAGTGTTCTTATGTATTTTGGTATATAATAAAGGTTTTACATCATATTCTTTGTGTTTGGTTAGGTAAGTACTCAATTAATTTTCTCATTTTCTTTTTTTTTTTTCCTGTAAGGTACTTTTCCCATTGATCTGACAAAAACACGTCTCCAGGTTCAAGGTCAAGTTAATGATGCCAAATATAAAGAGATCCGCTACCGTGGAATGATGCATGCACTAGTCAGAATAAGCAGAGAAGAAGGATTGAAAGCCTTATACTCTGGGTAAAACTGACTTGCAGTAATGGTTTATGAGCAGTCTATTGATAAGTATGAGCCCATAGTATGTACATTCTTGGGCTTCAGAATTACAAGGCTTTTGGTTATCCTCAATCTGGAAGTTGAAAGTCCAAGCTTAGATTCCTTCAGTGTTTGTACTCTGCAATAATATTTCATCTTGACATCCCCCCCCCCCCCCCCCCAAAAAAAGAAAAACAAACAACAACCCAAAACCAAAACAACAAAACCTACTGGGGGGGGGGGTGTGTGTGTGTGTGAGGGAATAGCAAAGCATAAAATTGTTCTGTACAATGCTGCTATGGTTGTTCCATCTCATGAAAAATTGAATTAAAATTTGTGTATAAATGGACATGCTTATCTTTAAAGCATGCAAGATGATGGGGAAAGATGTAATCTGCAGATTATATTTCAGACAGGCTTGCCAGCTATTTCATAGATTACAAGTTGAGGCATGCTCTAATAGTAATCCTTCCATAGTTCATTCATGTTCTTGCAGGCTTTAGTTAAAAGAACCCCAAACCCCGAATCTTTTGTCTATAGTGAATTTAAATCATTGATTTAAATCTGGTAAAGATATCTGGTATTTATCTTTTATTCAGTTTTGTGCTCTAGAAAGTATTTGCTCATCAGTCTTTTGCAATTTAGAGCGTAAATATTATCATTACCTCTTTTTACAGGATTGCACCTGCGATGCTAAGGCAAGCTTCATATGGAACTATAAAAATAGGCACTTACCAGAGCTTAAAAAGAACATTTGTTGAGCATCCAGAAGGTGAGTGGGTTATTTCAATTTAATTAGGGACTGATTTGCTTGAAGCTGGTTGTTTCCACTTGGTATTTTTACTGTAACAGTTTGAACAAGTCTACTGAGAATGACTTTCTGTGTACCAATTAAAGTGAACCAGCAAGGAAAATTTGTCAGAATAGTTTGTAAGGCTTCTGTAATTGGTATTCGCTCTGCTTAAAGGAGGGGTGGCATCATCCTGCCCTGATGCAGCTAAAGCTTCGTAAATCTGCAGCTAAACTTCTTTGTTTATGGAATAGATGAAACCCTGATGATAAATGTTCTATGTGGTGTTCTTTCGGGAGTAATCTCATCATCTATTGCCAACCCTACAGATGTCTTAAAGGTAAGTATCTAGAGTTCACCTGTACCTTTTTTGTCCTTGAGGAAATGCAGAATCTCCTGATGAATAAAAGATCAATAACCCTATTTATTCTCATCTCTTGACTTTTAAAAATGAGTAACATCCTGAATTCTTGGAACCTCCTTTTGGTCTATACTAATAATTTTGAAGTATGCACCAGGAAACTGATGGCTTGGGGGGGGGTAGTTGGATCCATATAACATTTTCTCAGGGTGGAGAGAGAATAATATGGCTTAACTTTTATGCTATGTTGTGTGTGGAAGCCACACTGCATATTTCATCTATACTTCTTGGCAAGATAGTTATACTAGGATGTTGTAGAGCTCAGACGGATTGATGGTATTTAACTCGCAAAACTGTAGCATATGACTTACATGGCTGCCTTTAATGAAAAAATTAAAACTATTTGAAGTGTGGGAACAATTAGTTATTTCCTAAAATTACGTCCATGTACCAGCTTACTTGTCACCAGACTTGTTCTTGGGAACCTGACATGGTAACTATCAAATACCTTCTTAGAAATCCACAGGGTTGAATGCCGTGGTTTTCACTAGCTGAAGCCTTAATCTTTTTAACCTTCCATTTTAACATATTCCTGTGAGAACGCTGTAAAGGACATCCGGCAGAACCCATCTGTCAGTCTAATCTAAATGGAGTAGTGTGCGAGAACAGAAATAGAAGTGACTTAATGCAGCTAAGAATTATACCATGCACTTGTTCAAAATTAGCAGCTGCATTTGGATAGTTAAGTCAAAAAATTGCATCATAGTTGTGATAATGTCAGCTATTAATTTTTATTCCAAGAACTTGAATTTACTAAAAATGTTAACTTAAAATGTCAATAAAACTGTATTAAGCTATTGTTGCAAGTTTGAAAAATATTTATATTCTGATTTTTTTAAATAAATTGCAGATCAGAATGCAAGCCCAGGGTAGTATGATTCAAGGAGGAATGATGGGTAACTTCATACAGATCTACCAAAAGGAAGGCACTAAAGGCTTATGGAAGGCAAGTTTGTTGAACTGTATTCTACCTTTTGAGCATATGTTCTTGCTCAACTGAATTTCATGTACTTCTACAGTATTCTCTATTAAAATATGGAGAAGCTAATATGGATGTAGTTTGTTAGGACAACTGCATTGCTGGTGTCTTTGTGTTCAAAGATTAGCCACTTAGTAAAGGGGAGATAAAAGGAGGCTTAAATTAGGGTGACTGGCTACAGGACTAGTTTAGCAACACTTTGCAAGACACCCCTCAATCTGTATGCTCTGCTTTTTCTAAAACATGCTAAACAATATTTAGAAGGGAAGGCACTAATAATTATCCTGTCTAGCTCAGGAATTCTTATACTCAGTCTTGTAGGTTGTCTCTTATGCCAATTACAGCCAGTGAATGTATAACAACTGAAGATCCAAAATGTGTGATTGTTCTGAAACAGCTGGAAAATAGAAATGTTTTTCTTGGTGTGCTTTTCTCTGCAAAGTTTCTTGATCTCTATTTTTTCTGTTCATATTCCTTATTCTGTCAGTTTTTCAGTTAGCATTAAGGGACACAGTATCATCCAGTTGTGGAGGTCATAGCTTGATGTTGATCTAAGAATTTGGATGATAAGCAAAGGTGGGGTAGCATACAGGAACTGAAATTGCCATGCAGTGTGGATGCTAGACAGGGACTTGTCATCAGAGACTGTAGTGACATGACCATGGGTAATGGGTTCAAGCTTAAACAGGTGAAGTTCAGGTTAGATGTTAGGAAGAAGTTCTTTAGTGTAAGGGTGGTGAGGCACTGGAACAGGATGCTCAAAGTGGTAAATACTTCCTCCCTGGCAGTGTTCAAGGTCAGGTTGGACAGAGCCTTGGGTGACATGGTCTACTGTGAGGTGTCCCTGCCCATGGCAGGGGGGTTTGAACTAGATGATCTTAAGGTCCTTTCCAACCCTAACCAGTCTGTGATTCTAAGTGTTCTATCTATCAATTTGAATTTGTGGGCTTTTGGAGCACACACACATCTGAGACTTGTGCTAATTAGCCTTATTTGTATTAACAGTGTTCTTAACACATTCATGGTGTGTTGCTTTGTATTACTAGAGTGTCCTGGTTTTGGCTGGGATAGTTTTCTTCCTAGCAGCTGGTGCAGTACTGTGTTTTGGCTTTAGCCTGAGAATTATGCTGGTAACACTTTTGAGTTGTTACCTAGTAACACTTACCCTGATCAAGGACTTTTCAGTCTCTTATGCTCTGCCAATAAGAAGGGGTACAAGAAGCCAGGTGTGAGCAGAGATGGAATCACCTGGCCCAAACTAGCCAAAAGGGGTATTACATAGCATACAATGTCATGCTCGGTATATAAACTGTGAGGAGTTGGCCAGGAGGGGCTGATTGCTGCTCAGGGATGGGCTGGGCACAGGTCAGTGGGTGATGAGCAGTTGTATTGTGCATCACTTGTCTGTCTTGGGTTTTATTCCCCTTTTTCTTATTTCTATTAAATCATTTTACTTCAATTATTAAACTGTTCTCATCTCAGCCCATGCGTTCTACCTTTTTCTGAGTCTCCTCCCCGTCCCACCAGAGGGCGAGAGAAGTGAGTGAGCAGCTGTGTAGTACTTTAGTTGCAGGCTTGGATTAAACCATGACAAAAGCTAGTGTTTGCTGCTGGCGCACAAAGCTAATTTTAAACTTCACCTGTATGCTTTCTTTTGCCAGGGAGTATCATTGACAGCACAGAGAGCTGCTGTTGTTGTAGGAGTAGAACTGCCAGTGTATGACCTTACCAAGAAGCACATAATTATGTCTGGATTTATGGGAGATACCGTATATACTCACTTCCTGTAAGTCTGCAAAACTGTTTGCATAGCTCATTGTTGGTTAGGTCTCATTAGGGGGGTTCAGTATTTTGATTTGTCATCTATATATTTAAATATACAAGTTTAAAATATATATTTAAATATACTTCTGATGTATTTATACTTTTTAATGCAGTAGCATCTAAAATAGTAGCATATAGCATGGTATTTAATTTTATTTAGAATTTGGATTTAACTTCCTTTTGAATATGGGTATTTTTTTTTGTGGGTGGTCCAAATCATTCAGCTGTGCAAATAGAAGTTAGAGGAAAGTTCCAAATATTTGCTTTTGAGGCACAAACATCTGTTCAAGTGTCCAGAGATTGTATATAAGAGCTGTGTAGCAAATCTTCAAAATTATGCTTTATAGTAAATGAAAAATAATTTTTCAAATTTATTAGCAGATGTAATTTTTAAATAAATCATTAAGTGCTCATTATTCCCCCTCTCCAGAAAACATGCAGTATTTCTTGCACATCTCTAAATGTGCTAGATCAAATTTCATTAAACCCTTCTTTTGCTAGCTCAAGTTTTACTTGTGGGTTAGCTGGAGCCCTTGCATCCAACCCAATTGATGTTGTAAGAACACGCATGATGAATCAGAGAAGCCAACAATATGGGGGACACTCAAACTACAAGGGTACTTTGGACTGCTTATTACAAGTAAGTAGTTAATTTATCAACTTTAGTAGGAAGTGGTGCCATTGAGCAATGATTTTTGGTATAGAGCTCAAAATTGTTCTAAGCTTCCAAGTAACTTAGGTATGCTTTTTGCCATAATCCTCAAAAGGACTACATTGCCAATAACACACTGGTGTGAAAAACATCTACTGTCTTGACAGAATGGCAGTATATACTGCAGGCACCCAATTTCTTTTGGTGCTTGTATAGGGCACTGTCTCTTACTTTACTTTGCAAGATGTAACATTTAATATAATGATAGGAAATGACTTCATAGGTCAGTCCTTGAAGAACATCTTCTGGGGGGTCGGTCGTTTTCTCTGCTTACTGCATATTGGAGAGGCTAGTACAGCCAAAGCCATTATCAGTGTCTGATTTTGATTATTTTGGCTTGGGTTGTTTAAATTCCTAAACTAGGTATGAGGTTGGAGCATGACAGCCTTTTACACGGAGAAGAGTGGCTGGACAGTGCTGTTTCTATTGCAGAACAAGTTGCACTGTTCAGTGCAATTTTGTGAAGTTCATAAAGCAAAATGGAAAATCTCAAGTGGGTACCAGATGTGAGCTGCAGGTCTAAATATACATTGTGTGTGTGTATGTATATATCTATATATATATACACACACCCCATCTGCAAGGGAATTTATAGGGGTAAAAAAAAGTCCAGGAATGTAATTTGGACAAATCTAGGTTGGGTACTTAATGACCTGCATCTTAACCTACCATGGTGATGTGGGCTTCTCTAATTTTAGCTTTATATAGTGAAATGTTTTTGTCTCCTCACACAATATGTTTAAGAGATGCTGCCTAGGTTTCTCACTAATAAGAATGAATTGTTCTTACTGTGTGGTGTTTTTTGTTTTTGTTTTTCTTTCCCCAGACATGGAAGAATGAAGGCTTTTTTGCTCTATATAAGGGGTTTTGGCCAAACTGGTTAAGACTTGGTCCTTGGAATATCATTGTATCCTTTTCAAAGGTGTGCAAAACTATGAAGCTAGCAATAAAACAGCAGGTGTTGACAGTTTCACAGACTGCTCAGTGTGCAAAGTGTCACGTCAGCACAAATATTCCTTTTGTATGAATGGAAAATTGGGTAGTTAGTTTTCTTCATCAGCTGCTGCTGGTCAGAGTGAATTTGTGATACATGTAGAATGAATATTGGAATGTTATCTTGCAAAACATTTTTCTGTTCCTCCAACTTCATACTTATCCATTTCTGTGGTTTGGAGCCTAGCTTTAAATAAAATTGCCCAGATAAGTTAGGAATGGGGGCTGCTTCCAGAACTGGGGGAAATGGTGCTTAGCCATGAAATCTATTTTGTTTATCTTTCTCACACAATTTTCTTAGTTTCAAGAGCCAGCTGATCAGAGCCTTGGGAAGTGAGTTGGTAGTAGTGGTTTTTACCATGAGCAAACCTACTTTAGCCCATCAAAGTTAACTGAGCAAAGACTCTTTCAAAGCTTTCACAGTGTTCTCCTGCCTCCTCAGTCTTGTGTTTAAGATCCTGAGGAATAGGTATGGGAAAGTGATTGGCATCACCAGCCTTAAAAATTTCATTTCTTTGTCTAGTACTGTGTAACAAAAATGGCCAACCAGCAGGACTGCATAGGAGGCAACAAAATGGAGCAAAGCTTCACACAGATGCAGCTGTACTGTAGTGGTGAGGTGATGCATTTTCCACATGTGAATATGAAAGTTTTCCTTAATCAGCTGTCCCAGTTCTTTCTAACATACGAACAGCTGAAAAAATTAGACTGACATGCTGAACTGTATCCTGAATTCTGTGAGTGTACTGTTTGAGTTTAAAGCAACTTGTAAGTTGTCTTGAGTATTTACTCTTTGTTGTCGGAGATGCTGGCCAGAGGAAGAGGTCACTGTGAGACTCTTGTGAATGACAAGAACCTGGAGAAGTGGTTTCAAGGCTGACTGGCTCCTGTAACAATAGCTTGCTTATGTGACTCTGGGTGATGTGCACGGTTTTCTAGACAGAATCAAATATGGTGGCATTCTGTCTGTCAGCTGTGTAAGTTTACTTGAATGTGAAGGTCTGTAATACAGCTTTATGCTGTTGAGACTTAGATGCACAATGTTTTTAAGAGGCAGAGAAAGATAGGTAGTACCACAGAGCTGAGTTTCTCCTTCCATAAGGGTATGCAATTTGACTGTGGTAGTTTATAGTTTCAAAGTAACTGGAAGTGTCACAAGATGCCTTTTCAGGCTTTCAGTTCAGTAAAATACCTGCTGCAAGATAAAAGTCTGCTTCTGGTTTTAGAGCTTTCTGTGTTCTAAGACTTTAGATGTTGGCATAAGTTGCTGTAAATGATCCAGTTTCCTTTGAAAGCATGGTTGCCACAGCTGTCAGTTTTGTATAGCTGCAAGTGTTCTCCCATATATTCTTGATTTTTATTTTTTTTCAGCGTGATTCTTCAATGTATGCATATGTAAATTCACAAGTAGGAATGAAGTTCAAGCAAGTCCATGCTTATCTGCATGTCTTGCAGAGAAACTTTCTATGCCTTTCCTGTTGTTGGGAAGAGCTATTTGTAATGGATGCTGGGTGTTATGTATCATCTGAGATACAAGTTTTACACTGAGCAGTTCTGGCTGTGTTATATAGGTGCCACAGGAAAAGAACCAGGCCCCTCCAAAGGTAAATCCACAATAAAGATCATTTTCCTTGTTTAAGATAACACCCAAACCCAGAACTACTGAGTACTTCCATATATGCAAGTAAACACCATGTAGAAATCAACCAGTTGTAGAAAACAACTGCCTTCAAGCATTACCTTTTGCCTGAAATGAGTATCTTAAACTTCAGGACCATTAACTAAACAATATATTAAGGTTCTTAAATGCTGCTGGTGAAGTCCAGGCAAGGAAACATGCAATTATGTCAGTCATGGTGATGGTTCCTCTGTATTTACAGAGGATGGCAAAGTGGGATGTATAGCTTTGTATTTTTGTATCATTGTGTGTATCTCTTAAACATTTTTGGTTAATTGTACATTCCACTTAAACTGTTATGACTTCAAAATTACTATATTCTCATAAGATCCACAAATGGATTTCTAAATGCAGAAAGCACTTTCTTTCCTGAAGTACAATGTTTTTCTATGTGTGGTGTTATGCTCTGTCCAGTGGTTTTCTGTACAGCTTTTCTGTGATTTAATACAAATACTTGTAGAAATTTTTGTACACTATGTAAGCGAAGTGTATGGGTTTTGTAACCTTATTACAAGTTTTCAAGTCATTGTGTGATGACTCTGAACTGCTCACTTGGGAGTGACAGGGTGGGAGTGTGGAATATGCTATACCCGTTATACTGAAGATGGACTAAACCTAACTGCTGAGCACTTAAGGTGTGAGAATGGTGAAATGAAGTTATAAAGTCCTAGGATGGCTTGGGCTGGAAAGGAGCTCAAGATCATCTGGTTCCAACCCCCTTGCCACAGGCACAAACAGCTTCCACTCGACCAGGTTCCTCCAACTGTGTCCAACCTGGCCTTGAACACGGCCAGGGATGGGGCAGCCACAGCTTCTCTGGCCAACCTGTGCCAGTGTCTTGCCACCCTCACAAGTCTGAACACATGACCTCTCTTACTGTCTTTACCTGATGAAGAGTCTCTAATACCTTCTAGGTCCCCTTCAGATACTGGAAAGCTGCTATGCGGTTTCCACGCAGCCTTCTCCAGGCTGGACAGCCCCAACTTTCTCAGCCTATCTTCATAGGGGTGATGCTCCAGCCCCTGATCATCCTCGTGGGCCTCCTCTGGACTTGCTCCAGCAGTTCCATGTCCTTCTCACATTTCCAATCTCCTACCCTTAAGTAGTGGTTCAGGATCTCGGCTGAAGGTGATTGTTGCAGGCAGTGCCTTAAGCTCTTTTAACTCACAGGTGATTTTGTTTGGGGTGGGGAGCTGATGCCCAGGTGGAGCGTGGGTTGCCTGGAGCAAGGTGCCATCGCTAGGGCTGTCCTGCGGCCTCGGGAAGGAAAGCCCCTGGGTATGGGAAGGACGAGCACCCGCCCGCCCCTCCTTTCTCCAGGCCGCCGCCGGTGTCCCTCAGTCCCGGGCAGCGGGAGGGCGGCCGCTGCCGTGCGGTGGCCAAGCCCGGGGATGCGGCAGCCGCTTCGCTCCTCCCCGCCGGCAGGGGGCGCCGTCCCGGCCAGCTGATGGTCGCTGACGCCCTTTTCCCCACCAATGACGCTACTGTCACGCGACGCGGAGGGGCCGCGCTGTGCCTCCCCGGAAGCGCTGCCGCGGTGTTCCGCCGCGCCCAGCCCGGCGGCCGCTCACCCGTTCCCCGCCAGCATGGCGGAGCTGCCGCCCGCGGAGCCGGCGGGAAGGGACGTGCTGGACCGCTTGAGCCTGTGGGACCGCCGCCCACAGCCCGCCGCGCCGCTCAGCGACCGACAGACCGACTCGGTGCTGGAGCTGAAGGCGGCGGCAGAGAACTTGCCGGTGCCGCCCGAGGTGAGGCGGCGATGCTGCCCGGCTGGAGAGCGAGCGCGCGGGCGGGAAGCGCCGCAGTGCCACGTCGCCAGGCGGCCGGGGGTGCTTGCGAGGCTGCCGCTGCCCGCCGGTGACCACGGGGCTCAGCAGCCGTTTGCGTTCCTGCCGGGTGTCAGGCCGCAGGGCACCCGGCGTTCCCCTCACTGCGCTTCCCCGGCCCCCGGGAGGATTCGTCCTTCCCACAAGGGCCTCCTGCCGCGGTGCGGGCGCCCGTCCTGGCTGGCAGGGGCTGGTAGGCAACGATCAAAGTTTTCAGCCTAAAATCCACAGGGATTTCCTTGCCTAGCCTTATAGCTTACATCGGTTCATCGGAATTCTTTCTGCTGAAATAGAGCTACCATCGTGATCTTCTGTGGCTTTCATAGAATCACGGAACGGTTTATGTTGGAAGGAACCTTAAGGCTCGTTTAGTTCCAACCTCCTGCCATGGGCAGGGGCACCTTCCACTAGACGAGGTTGCTCAAAGCCCCGTCCAACCTGGCCTTGAACACAGGCAGAGATGGGGCAGCCACAGCTTCTCTGGGCAACCTGTGCCAGTGTCTCACCACCCTCATAGTGGAGAACTCTTCCTAATAATAGTTTTGGTTCTCTTAATTTGATCCTGATCAATACATAGCTGCTGGCACTAGTGTTATTTCCAAATACCACTTACAGATGATTGAGCAAGACATAAAAGGCAGGAATAGTGGCAAAAGCTTAATAACTTGTTATTACCATGGAAGACATGGTCTTCTCTTCAGTTATAAAACATTAGACTGATGATTATTGATGAGTACTCTTTTGTCTGTAAAGGGAAGTGGAGCAAAATGTTTGCATTCATTAACTATGTTTTTCATGGGAGGTTTTGTATTTGAACAGGAACAGTGTTCCTAGGTACAGTGAACTAGATACAGTGCCATAAAATCAAAAAGTTGGCTCTCGTCAAGTTCTGAAAGGTCAAAATAACAAAAGAGAAGGGGGTAAAACAGTTCCTCCCTGAAATGCACTTGTTTCATTTCATGCTTCCTGGTCTGTTTTTTTTGTGTAAGTTGTATGTATCTGTACTCAAGTAAATATTGGCAGGTATCCAAAATGATTGTAGAAGCTTATGCTGCGATCAGAACAGGTTTTTAAGGATCCAAACAAACTTTGCAAGAAGGCAGGTATTGTATTTGCTGTATAGGACAACAGGGATGCCAAGACATTGAGTAATTCAGCTGGTCTTGGCCTCTGCTGAAGTGGATTGGGACAGTGGTGACTTAGCTGTTCTGAAAAAGCAGGCTCTGATGTACTTGTCTTTTCCTCAGGGAAAAGGGTTTTTCTTGTGACTGTTTTCTCAGTAGTAGTCACAAGAGAAACCCTGGCTCCCAGCTAGGGATCCTGCCTGTTTTGGGGGCCAGGAGAGGGAAGAGAGATATGCTTAGATATTTCCTAATGTCTAATGAGCTCTACCATCTTTCAGTTTAAAGCCATTCTGTCTTGTCTTATCCCTACATCCCTCCATAAAATGTCCTTCTCCAGATTTCTTGCAAGCCCCCTTTAGGTACTAGGAGAGTGCTGAAAGGTCACCACAGATCCTTCTTCAGGCTGAACAGCCCAACTCTCTCAGCTTGTCTCCATAGGAGAGGTGCTCCAACCTTCTGAGCATCTGCATGGCCTCCTCTGGACTTGCTCCAACAGGTCCATGTCCCTCTTGTGTTGGGGTTGCCAGAGCTGAATGCAGAACTGCAGGCGGGGTCTCACGAGAGCAGAGTAGAGGGGGAGAATCACCTCCCTCGACCTGCTGGTCATGTTGTTGGTGATGCAGCCCTCATACAGTTGGCTTTCTGGGCTGCAAGTGCATGTTGCTGGGTCATATGGACCTCCTCATCAATCAACACCCCCAAGTCCTTCTCAGGGCTGCTCTCAGTCCAGTCTCCCTCAGCCTGTATTTGTGCCTGGGATTGCCCCAGCCCAAGTGCGGGACCTTGCATTTGAAAGAATATGAAACACAGCGAATAGTGGCAGTATTAAGTCTTGGTTTATCTCTGAATATCTGGTAAAAACATCTTGACAATTCCTGTGCAGTGGTGTTGCCATGCAGTGTAGAACATACATGGCATTTCTTTTTTGCTTCTGCATGCTTTCTGAATTCTTCTGTTCTCAGATACTTTTCTAGTGCATTTCTGTGAGTATAGAACCTGACATAGTAGCTCATCAGTATGTTGTGTACATAGACTCATAGAATAGTTAGGGTTGTAAGGACCTTAACATCATCAAGTTCCACCCCCCTGCCATGGGCAGGGACACCTCACACTAAACCGTGTCCCCCAAGGCTCTGTCCAGCCCAGCCTGGAAAATCACCAGGGATAGAGCATTCACAACTTCCTTGGGCAACCCATTCCAGTGTCTCACCACCCTCATGTACATTCAGTTTCTTTTTTTACACAAATATGTAATTATATGAAATTCTGTATAATATTTTCTAACTTTAACTAAAAAAAACCAAACAGTTGTTAGGTGCTTCTGAATATATAGATATGGTAGTTGTCGGTGTATTATCATATTGGTAGATAAAATGTTCATTGCATTTGTTTCCTCAAAAGTAGATGCCTGTAACTTTCTCAGGTTGAGGCTTTGGGCTGTGTTATTGTAGTAGAGCTGAATATACTAATTCTTAGTAAGTTCTCTAACAAAGTTTGTGGGTTTTTGTGAGCAGCTTCCAATTGAAGATTTGTGCAGCCTGACGTCTCAGTCGCTGGCTGTTACGCTGACGGCTGCAGTGCCAGAATCCACAGAGGATGTCCTTTTGAAAGGGTTTGCAGTACTGGGGATGGAGGATGAAAGAATTGAAACAGCACAGCAGGTAAGTGATGCTGAAGAACCTCCAAGGTGCAGTAATCTTCTTCATAGAATTTGTGAGATTCTGTGTCTCTTGCCTAACTTTTGGTGGGTTTATTAAATATTTGGGGATGTTTTCAAGGTGCATGAAGAAACTTGGAGGAAAAATCCTTAAGTCTTATCTCTTAAGTGATAGATACTTTTCCCATTTTGAGTGGAGTCTTTTGTGAGAGTAAGACACCCCTTCAGTAAGGTGGTGTTGCTCACAATATGAAAGAATCTTTGTGCCCCCTCCCTCCTTTCAACGTGACAGCCTTGTTCTCATGCAGATAAAAACAGATTAAATTAGTCTTTTCCATTTGAATTTAGCAAGGGAATAGAATATGTTTCAGTTGGAAGTAACCTAAAACAAAGAGTTATAGTTTATTTCCTTGATTA